TTTCCCTGAGTGTCCTGTATTTTGACTTTGTTTAATCTGGAGATCCCACCATTGCCAGCCCACCAGCCACCCCCTCTCTTGCTGTGTCCTGACTCCAGGACCACGCAAGCCTGGGTCCCAAGCCCAGCTCTGTCACACAGCAGCTGTGTGACATGGGACATTTGAGCCTCCGTTATCCTCTCTCATCAATGAAGCTGATTGTGCACAGCCACATGGAGGAGCGTGGTCCTGGAGCTGGGGCCTCCTGGGGGCACCCAACAGGGCTCTGGTTCTGGGGGTCCATCACACTTGCTCAGTCGTGGGGCTCAGAGGAGTAGCTGTGTGTGGCCATCTGGATCAGAGTCGGTAGGGGGTGCCAGTGGGAATCCCCTCTGCCACTTCCTGTCCTCCCAGAGTGGGGCAGGCCAGCAGAAGGGGGACTGCGTGACCTCCGAGCCCCGGGCTGGCCGCCGGCCAGGAGTCCCGTGGGAGACAAGGAGAACGTGAGACAGCAGAGCATGTAGCCCTCCGTCCCCACCCCGCATATTCGCAACAAACCTCTGTCATCACATCCTTGTGGTCCAAGGAGCGTGCTCAGCCACGGCAGCTGGAAACATTGACGAGTGGCTGCCGTGCTCCAGGCAGGCTGTCAGTCAGAGACGGACCAGGCCGGGGCCGAGCGCAAAGCCTTGTTGGAAAGATGGATTCACAGCAGATCAAGTGGAATAAAGCAGTGCAAGAGATCGTTGTCCTTTTCCTTTAAAGAAGAGGAAATGACTGTGCAAAGGATATTTCACAGCTCACGGTGAGAAAAAGCTGACTGATGGGGATGCACACTCGGCTTTGGTTTGTTTGACATGTTCTGATTCAAAAAGATGACCCTGGCAATGAGGAGAAGACAAAACACATCCTCAAGGGAAAATTCTCCCAGCTTCTGGCTACAGGGGCATAGACATGCCCCGCGTTTGCCCCAAGCATGTTTTTACAACAGGTGCATCACCAGATCCTTTGGCTGAACTGGAGAGTCCTATCCATCCACTCCTGCCCAGGGACCCTGTCTCCCCTTGTGTGCTCTGGTGCTTTGCAGAACCCGCTAGACCTGATCCAAGCTCGAGCAGTGTCCAGCATCCGTGGATGAAGTGTTGAACGACCCGTTCTCAGAGTGCTTGCGAGTCGTCAGGGTTGCCTGGACAACGCAGGGCAGATGCCAGCGTTTCACCCGCTGACACCCACAATTTAGGTGTCATCTCAGTTAATGACCATTTGCAACATGGCTGTAATTAACACCCCAGTTAGTGTACGCAACAAATATTTGTTGGACACTGGGCTTCCGGAGGGATTCAAAACCATCCCCGACTTGGACCACTGAGTGCTATTAGAGAGATAAACAGGAAAATGGCCAAGTTATGACGTCACTTAATCCCCCTGATATAAATGCTAGCCAGTATTCACCTTGAACCTTGAACCCTAACTTGAACAGTACCTGCCGTGGAATAAGCCAGTGCCTTCCACCGAGCCAGCCTGTGAGCCCCAGGCAGATTTTATATATTTTAAGACTTGGAATCAAAAAGGAAGCTACATCCACTTGGATTCAAATTCACTAATTTGAAATCTGTGATAATTCTGGGACTATCGGATTACAACTAACTGTCAAGAAAATAAATCTCGCAAAGCCTGTCTGTCAATAGGGTGAGTATTATCATGACGGAGATGGAGGGATTTGCTCATTTATTTAACAGATAGTTCTCGTGCTGTGCACTGTGCTACAGGAGGAGGAGACCCTGGAGAGCCAGACAGACGTGGGCCCCGCCACAGTGAAGCAGCCAGGCTAGCAAGAGAGACAGGCATTTAACAATAATCACCCATTTAAAATCTTAATTACAATTATCATAAGTACTTACAAGGAGATGAATATAGCATTCTAGAAAAGCAGATAGCAGAGAGACATAAAAGAGCCCAAGGAAGCCACCTTTTTGAAGGGACTTACAAACTGGGTTCTGAAGTATACGTAGGAGTTAAACAGGTAACAAGAGAAAGGAAGAGGTAAAGAACTCCAGGCAGAGGGTGCAAAGGCCCCGAGGCAAGGGTAGTAAGGCATATTGAAGAAACACCAGAAATTAACACAACATTGTAAATGGACTATATTTCAATAAAAAAAATAAAAATAATCAACCAATCAATCAATCAACCAGCTTAGAAAAAATGATGAGACTCATGGGATGCAGAAATGGATCAGATAAAAGAGGCATGGAGGAGGGAGAAGGTGCAATCACAAGTGGCTCAGATTTGTGGGATCCTCAGAGGAACAACTGACTTGTGGAAAGGGAACAGGTTCCGTTTTAATTGTGAGTTTGTGATGCTGCCCAGGGGGCAGACGGAGACAGAGGCTGAAGTGCAGACACATGGCTGGCGTGGATGTGTCATCAGTGAGTGGCTGCTCACTGTGGCTGTGGGTGTGGGTAGAGTCGCCTGTCGAGCTGGTAGAGGGAAAAGAGACAAGGCCACAGGGCTGGACGCAGAGGACATCCAACCATCCAGAAGAGAAAGATAAGATATGAACAGTTAGGCCGGGCAGGAAGATATGTGAGCAGCCCACAGATCAAAGTGGGAGCTACCCCGGAAGCTAGTGGTCAACAGTCTTGATTGCAGCTTGAAAGTTAAGTCGGATGAGGAGCAAAGGTACCCACTGGAAGAGCCCCTGGGAGAGGGGAGACTAAAGGCAAAGTAAATAAATGAGTTAAGGAAATAATGAGGGGTGAGGCATCAGGAAGCACTGAAGAAAACAAAACTGTTTTTGCTTAGACATAAATTTATCACTGTGCCGTGAATAAATACTCACTTTCGTTTCTGTGTATTCATCTGAGCAGATTCCACGTACTTTGTTTATAGCACAATCCAGCAACGTGAGCTTCTTCTTATTCGTGTTACCTGAGGGGAACGGCATCCTTTTATCTGAAATGTGCTCTAGGTTTTCAGCAGTTCAGGTTGGCTTCCTTCAGATGGTCCACAGCCGTGAGCAGGACAGTTCTGTGCTGGCCCCTGGAAAACACGTTTCAGCAGCCTGACAGTGAGCCCATGAACCCCAGCACAAAGTGATGTGTCCCTGGAACATTCACAGAATAAGTGTCGTGGTGTCCTTCTGCACCTCTGTCTCGTCCATGTCCGACATGGATTGATTTCACCCTCATCCTGAAATGAGCTCTCTAGTTAGGGATAGAAATCTAAATTTTCCAGATCACCTTAAGACCCAAGGCCGGAGGTCTTTCTCAATAAAAACTCCTCCATCTTTCTTGCTCCTTCTTTTTCGATGCCTCTGTTTGCCTTCCACTAAAATTCAGGCTGAGGACACCAAATTCAGAACATTGCCACAAACATTCATTCGGTTTCTGTGTTGATGTGTTCAGGACATAAAGGCAAATGAGACTCCCTTCTTGGGTTCAAGGAATTTTTCTTTCTAGTTGAGGAGAGAAGGAAGCAGCCATCAATTCCTAAGACATATGGGTTACCATACACGATGTGTGAGCATACGGCATGAGTTACGGAAGAGGCAAATCCAGGGTGCCATGGGGACACAAAGGACCCCCTGGGGTGGCGGTCAGGATGTGGCCACCCGGATGGTGGGTGGCTCAAAGTGCCTCTGTGCATCTCCAAAGAAACATACTCCTCAAATTTGAGTTATTATGATTATTAATACTATTAATAATCTACCATGGACTGGATTAATATCCAGGAGCTGCAAGATGAGAAAGGTCTTGTGGAAGCCCCAGTGGTCTGCATTGACGATTTGCATGGAGCATTTATTTTAATTAGTTCACACTTGCTTCTGAGCACTCTTAAAATTCTCCTGGGCAGCTTTTTGGTTCTTTTAGCTGTCAAAATAGATACTCAAGCTTCCTGCCAACAATAAATCGAACACTGCTCCCTGCTGAGTGGATTCAAGTTCAGCCACTCCAGCCCTCTTCACTGAAAAACTTGAGTTATTAATTCACGTGGGAAAAGGGTCTTTGGTCTGATGGCTTCATCCTCCCACTGCCATTTTTGTGAAGCCAAAAATGATTCACAACTGGGCCAATCTAGAAATCCCAAAGGCTTCAAACAGGTTTTGAAGATTTCTTGGACCAGAGAAAGTTAATGAATGTCGGAAGGGGGATATAAACTTATCTTGGTTTTTCCCCCTCAAAATGCCTACGTTTGGAATTTTGTTGAGTTTAAGTGTGAAATCAACAAAAATTGAAAGCTAATTGTATTACTGACGTATAAGGATAGCTTTTGTCCTGAACACGTGCTTGGCTTTTTGGTTCGCTGGGTTCCAATGACATTATTTTTCTTCTTCTTTCTAGATGGGCCGTGATGACAGCAAATGTAAGCATGAAAAGAAGTTTTAAAACTACAGATCGTAAAACCCAGCAAGGCAGGCACCCGCAGCCCCCGCTCCTGTAACAGGTATAGAACCAAGAGCCGGCACCTGAAAACACCTTCAGTCTGAGCTGCTGTGCTGAAGGTTCCACTGGGTATCAGGAGACGAGGGGGTGGGGGTTGGGGGATGAAGCCAATTTTATGACCATCCCGTCAGAACCCAGGTAAATCAAATCAGAATTAAAGAAATTATTCAAATGAAGCTAGCGAGAGGGAGGCATAAAGAATGTGGTTACTTTCTGAATACTCCAAGTGTCAGTGAACAGCCTTCATTACTGCTTGGAATATGATGCAAACCCAAGATCAGTTTTGGTTTTTTGGCCACACATAACAGAAATTAAGCAGAATTGGTGGGGTTTTGGAGGGGGCATATAGCTCAGAGGTAGAGCATGTGGTTAGCACATGCGACGTCCTGGGTTCAATCCCCGGTACCTCCATTAAAAAAAAAAAAAGCAGAAATGGATATGTGTAAATAGGAAATGGGAGCCCTTGTGGATTCAAAGTGGAGGCTGAAGTTTCAGGCTGGGAATGAACGAACAGAGGGTACTGCCGCTAGAGAAAAAAATTTGTGAGCAGGCTCCATCCTTGCTCCAGGAAATACAGTACAATGGGCCGGCCTGGGTCTCACATCTGCACTTGGCCCTGGGAGATCTCCGCAGGCCCCTTGACTTTCATCCCTGCCAAGACTGAGCGCCAAGGGGAGAGGAAACCCCCTCAAAGGTGTCAAGTGTTCTTACTCAGAGGAGGGGATGGAAGCTGAGTGTTTGGAAATAACAAGTATCTGCTAATAGTAAGGGATCTTTCATTGGCTGGGGGGTGTTGATTTAACTCTAAGATTCTAATTTAGATCTCCGACTATCCTATCCATCTTCGTGTGGAAGTAGAGAAACCCCAGTATTACTGAGTTCAGCCATTGCCAAGGTCAAAACCCCAGCATTCAGGACACCAGAAGACTCCCTGACTGTATGGGTAAGACCTCAAGACACGGAAAACTTGATTTACAGGAGTCGAAGCCGCTGAAGTCCCCCATTTCACCACAAGAACACAGATTCCAGAGGGGCTGATTCTGGAATCGCAGGCTCACAGCCCCGCAGGACCGTGGAGGACCCAGGGCTGTTCTGTCCACCCAGACATCCTCTGCAAATCGGCCTCGAGTCATCATTGCTTGTCCCTCAGGGTTGCAGGGTGAATGCCTCAGTGTTATGAGTTGACTGCTATCCTCCAGATTCACACGTTGAAGTCCTAACCCAGAACCTGAGAATGTGATTTATTTGGAAATGGAGTCACTGCTGGCGTAATTAGTTAAGATGAAGTTATTAGGGCGAGTTCTAATCCAGTAGGACTGGCATCCTTAGACACAGAGGCAAGTCAGCGTGAAGAGACACAGCTAGAAGGCAGCCTTCTGCACACCGAGGGGAGAGGCCCGGGCTTCCCTCGCAGCGCTCAGAAGGAACCAACCCTGCCCGTACCTCGAGCCCTGCCCGTACCTCGATCGGGGAACTCCCAGCCCTCAGAACCGTGAGAGACTGAATTTCTGTAGCTGAAGCCATCGGCTTGCGGTGCAAACAGATAGAGTTTGCACCGCAAGCCGATGGCTACCAAACGGGCAGAGTCAGTTTCAGGCTTGGCGTCTGCATTACAGCAGGAAGAAAGCCACCAACGGAGGGGAAACTGGGACTGCTCCTTTGATCGGAAAGGCAAGAGTTTTCCCAGACATCGGCATGCTTCCACGCCTGTGGTCACAAAACTATGTTGCCACAGGGCCAGGCTAGCCACGTGGGAGTCTGAGACCAGGAGCGTTCAGCCTCCGCAGCTTTTAAAGAGGAAATGGGGGAGGGGAAAGGGGGTAGGAATGGGAGTGAGGTTGGCCAGGCACAGGGGCTGAGGCCTTTCGAGGGCCTTCTGAAAGACACCTACTGTGCTTTCTGGGGAGCAAGCCACCCGATTTTTAAGGCAAAGCTGAGGAGCATGTAAGTACAGGCTTTCCCAGGGCCGATTCATAGTTTCCTGTCACCACATCCGGTTTAGCAGAACTCAGGGTCCTCCGCTTTCTCCAGCAGCCCCACCTCAGCTCATTCATTCATTAAAACAAGCCTGCCAACAAATCAGCATCAAAAAGTCATGGCGGGGGTGTGGGCGGTATAGCTCAGGGGTAGAGTGTGTGCTTAGCATGCACAAGGCCCTGGGTTCAATCCTCTGTACCTCCATTAAAAATAAATAAGATAAAACTAATTACTTACTACCCCCAAAATTAAATAAAATAAATAAAAGAATTAAATTTTTAAATTTAAAAAAGTAAAATACTAA